AAGACTAGCTTGTCTTGAGCGACAATGCAGTATAGTACAGTCATTGTAAACTAAAAGATATCTATTTTCCTGTTCTAAAGAGGCCAACCTACCTCGTTGATAAAATCGACTACAAACGGAAGAGCATCTACTCATGCTGGCCTCTTCAAAAACAAAGAGCTGAAGATGAATTTTGGTTGTTGAACGAAATGCATCTTGTGAATAACACGTTACGACATAGTCCCACAAATGGATGGCAGGACTGTGTTGCTGAGGATATGGCTCTTAAATTAATACGGCTTCTATACTAAACTCGTATAAAGCTTTCAGATACCTTAAGGTACTTACTGAAGCTTCAAATGAGCTCGTTATCGGAAACATTTTGCAAAGTATCCGCAAAGCCAGCTAGCAGCCATTATCGCAATGCACGACAAAAACTCGAGCTGAAGGGGATTATGATTAAGAGACCGGATTTGAACTGGAATCCAATATGGATGATAAATTTCCTTAATATATTATTTATATTGGATGTCAGCCCAACTAAATGCTTTTTAGACGCAAAGCATTCCAAAACTAGGTCTACAAGTAATTTCGCAGCTAGAATATCTCATTGCTAGGGGGACTTTCAGTTCGTATGATGTCCATCATAGGATGGACGAAAGCTCAGCACGTTTTCACCCGAAACAAGAGAGGAAGTCTTGTGGACTGCGTTAAAATGAATATCGTATAAAAGCCAAACGGCTGCAGTACAACGAGATTCATCCGTCCTCTTCTGGTGAGATCGATTAACGAATCTCTTTTTCATTCACTTTCATACGAACTCAAAATCTCCCTAACAATATTATTTCAAGTGATTGACCGAAACCAAGCTTCTCTTCATATCCAACGGGATCACATGCAAGAGCTGGTTCAAGGCAAAACTATCAAGTTTAGAAAATGTCAGATAATTCGTCTGGCACACTGTACCAACTAGGAATAGATTCGTATAATATAAGAAAGCTCACGAAGTCAGATGTATTGATTTCCATTGGATTATTCCGATTTAATGTTTCTTCTTCTGACCTTAGATAGGCTATTCAATAACTCATTTTATTTTTTTCTTCATATACTTTAAGAGCATCCTACTCTTCATCATGTTTATAACTGTCGATTAAAATGGAAGAAATGGAGGATCATGGAGACAAAGAAACGACATAATTATTCGAAATGCTCAGATTTTAGAACCATAGTGGAGATACTCTGAAATGATTTAAAGGGAAATATCGTTTCATAAATGTTAATAGAATATGATTATATAATTTGAGTGGCATTATTATCTGAAATGGATTGATAAATAAACCATCAAATTTGGCCTGGGCTCAACCACACTGCTTCATATGCATCCACCTGACAATCATTCCATTTGGTGGCTTTGAAATATGTATTTACAATCATCAAGGTAGACTCGTAACGAGTTGAGATTTGTTTATTCCTAAGGCATTTTATATCGTTCCTATGATAAATGTAATAATACAGCGATTATTAAATGGTAGTGAAGCAAATCCAAGGCAAATATCACAAGAGTTTATGGAATGACAATCAACCAGTCGAAAAATATCAAACATTTTCAACAGGCACAATTATTTACAAGCTCTAGGATGGATTAATCAGAGTGAAAAAAAATAAAAGCGATTTAATGACTTTCGTTGCTTAGATTTCTAAATAGAGTTAGGTGCGGCGAATTGCTTGTAATAAATAAAGTATAGGCCAAGTGTGATAACTAAGTACGACGTTTTAAAGAAGTTTTGAGGATTACTTATACTAAACATCAATTGCCATCGAAAATCAATATAATTTATTCCTCCTTTGCGCGAAAATGTTATATTATGACTTTCAACTTTGAATAAAATGTTGTTTGGAATGGATTTGTGAAATGGAGTATTGTCGTGAAGTGAGACTGGTGGGTTATACTAAGAATTGCTCAACTTACCATCCTGCGGCCTCGATGAACCTATGATAAGCCTTCGTCTGCACCACCGAGACAGACACCATCAGAGCAAGAATGCATACTTTACGAAGTAGAACAAAAATCCGCTAGGCGACAAGAAAGTGCAGGCGGCTGCAACCCTAGTCACTTTTTATACACCTAACCTTGCGATCTAATTGAGGTTTCCCATGATTTGGTTAGCTGCCTCAAGCTTACTCTACATTCTTGGTGATAAGTCTGGTTAATTAATGAACAAGAAATTGATTTAGTGTCAGATGTTTCCTTACAAAAATAAACTGTCCATTGATGCCAACTCATGCCAAGATATGTGCTATTGTATATTATGTGTACATAATGTTCATATCACGAGGCGTCATAGTCTTAGTCCAATTATCACGAATTCTTCCCAACCAATATTTACGCCATAATAAATGGCTAAAAAATTTTTTTAAACCCAATTTTTCTTTATATTATGAGTGACTGAAGTAAATTTGAATAATAGTCTATATTCTGTAACGTTATTAATAGAAAATTCATGGAGAAGGAACCTTTTCTAATCCATGATATCCCATAAACAATGAACCCAGGGGATGTAAATGCTTCAGCACATCAACATTTTTCACGTTTGCAAATAAATAAATAAATAAATAGTAAACTATGGCTTATGGGTCTGAATTTTCAACAAATATCCAGAGTTTCTCTCACTTGAAAGCAGTGAGCTAAACATAGGTAGGCAAAGGCTTTCAGACGAGTTTTATCGTTTGCATACTTTCTAAGAGCAGGTCTACATACTAAATACTTGAGCTATTCTCTGAATACCAAACGTTCGTTTTACGATAAATGTTATAACATTCCTTACTTACCTTATAACACCTAATCAGAGCCTTGGTCGCCGCTGAGCTTCCTTAAGTCAATCCCTATTTTTAATGACGTATCAATATCTGTTTTTATTTCATGCTTAGGGTCTTTTACAAGTGTCCAATATCCTTAGTGATAATACTAAATCTATTCACATGTGCCAACTAATCAAATCTGTTTTGCTTACAATAACTAGGACAATTATCTTCCCAAATTTGCCGAAGAAGATAGATTGGAAGCTGTAAAGGCCAGAAGAATACATCGAAAACGGATGCTTCATAATCACCCATTTGAAGGGGAATGTAGCAAAGAATTGAATGAAATAATCTCTTGCAGTAGATTCAAATGTAAGAGACCAGAATATTTGGCCTCTAAATGCATGATTAACAAAATACCTGGAATCAAAATTAATGGTGCAAAAAGTGAAGCCATGTATGAGTGGATTCCAATAAGGAATGCAAACAGCAGAATGCATCGCATATCCGGTGACAGTATATTAGCAACATTAAGAGCATCTAAACTGCCCTTGATTGATTAAAGATATTCAAAATATGAAAATATATAATTTCGTTTTAAATAAATGTTTTTTCCATTAAGGAAAGAGGCGATAACCAGTTACCAGTCATATCAAGAATAGCCAATAAGTTTTAATACAAAGTAATAATCAAAAAGCATATATAGACAAAATAAGTGTCAGGGAGAACTAGTTATAGCAAGGACAAGTTGAAAGTGAAACTTTAGTTCATCTCAGCAATAATAGATTTGGCAGCCTTAAATCCAGTTAAATAGGCTCCCTGGCTGCAGCCTAGATATTCAAAAGTGAATGCATCTCCAGCAAGATAGAGGCCTCCATGTTTGCTACTGCAGGTGAGCTTCTGGGTCAATTTATTTAGGTCGCTAAACTTCAAACCAGGCCTTGCATAGGCAAAAGCCCCTTTCGAATAGATCTCTTTGGCCCAAGAAACGACTTTGGATTCGACAGGATGCTTTGCAATTTCGGCCTTGTTGGGATAAATAGAAGCAAGACTTTCAGATACCATTCTGACTAATCCTTCATCTGAAACATCGAGTAATCTGTCAGCAAAATCCCCAGAAATATGACATATTATGACAGGGAGTTGGGGATTCTTCAATTCTTGGCCCGTTAGCTTTAGGGCTGGAAGTGGGTTTTGGAAACAAAAGAAAGCTCGGCTTGGATGATCACCGTTGCCGAACCAACAAGAGTTTACATTTGAATTATCGCCCGCTTCCATTAAAATATCATCTATAACTTTTAAAATAGTATCAGAAGGGTCCCAGAAGGCTTCAGTGTAGGCCAAAAATACTCTAATATAATTGGAGTATCTTATACATTTTAATACTTGTTGAAGTTCACTAGGCAGAGCCGGCTCAAATTTCACAGAGGATGAATATGCATCATTCGCTTCTAGCTTATCAGCATATAAACTGCTTGGAATTGTGACTATTACATAATGGGCTTTGTAGGTAAGGGTTTTATTCTGGTTATAAGCATGGACAGTGGAAAAATGGCCAGTCGAGGAGTCACCCCAAATTATTTTATTAACAACTGTATTCATATGAACGATCTCTTCATTTAAAGTGTTTGCACTTGAAAGCACTTTAGCCTTTGTGGCTAAGTAGTTTAATATTCGTACGTAGCCGTCACCATCAGCAATAAAATTATCTACTTCATAATCATCATCGGCATATATAGAGGAAGATGCAAACTCAGCGATCTTAGAGATATTATGAGATGAGGCACCACAGCAGATATCTGCGGCAAAGGCATCTACCGCAAAATCAATTGGGCTTGATGGATTCCAATCATAGGCAGCAAGAGCCTGATCTAGACCACAGTCAAGGACTTTATCTGGTTTTAACTCAGAATCCTTCATAAAATCACTTTTAAAACATTCTTTTGATGCTATCATTTTTTCAAATGAACGCGTCCAAGCCTCAGAGACATCCAGACCACTATTCGCTTTTCTCGCAACAATAGAAAAGCATGGGCAGTCAGTTGTTACATGTAAGTTCGTACAAGGGTAAGTACGTAATCCCAAAAGAGATGCAAGTTGTGCGATTGGATTTCCCTTAATTCCATGCAAGAAGGCAGGACCAATAGCAAATTTTTGCCCTAAAATGTAGGAATAAAATTTATAATCTACCCGAAAATTCGTGACAAGAGACCCGCCCTCCAATTCTATCCCTTGCTTCTAAAATTATAAAATTCGTCACATTGTGATCAGCTAACGTAGAGGCAGCTGATAATCCAGCAAGTCCAGCACCAACTATAATAACGTCGGCGTAGATTACCTCAGAAGTCATAGATAGGATTAAAGGGTGCGCGCTCAGCGGATCAGACAAGGTCGAAAATACAGATTTAATGAAGTAATGCAAGTAAGACTAACTGAATAGCCAAAGTTATAATATTTCTACAAAATTTAAAAATAATATATTAATATAAAATTAATTTCACTATTCCTATTCCTAAAGTGAGCGAATTGAGCCTTATACTTAAAATAAGTCTAATTATAAAAGAAAAGTATAGATAAATGTTACAAATGAATTGTTTTTTAACAAATTAAACTGGCAAAAGTAGTCTATTTTACCAACTTGATATCTATGGGAGGAAGATTTGCTTTATTACACTTTTTAAAGGTAATCATGATTAATCGAAGGTATGAAGACCAAGATGCTGTGACCTTTTGTGTGGTCGCAGTCTCCTTTCGTTGTATAGAAGTTGTTAGACCCTTTTTTAGCAACATCTTCATATTAGTAGGAAGATTTAAAGGAACACACCTAGTCCGGAGTCTATTAACTGCATGATCATTTCCCAAAGTTGAACCATGGACCTGGTACATTCCCAAACGTTTCGCCGGCATCGTCAGTGAGAATCGCCATTCCTAGCACCATACAAAACTCGTAAAAAAGACAAATAAAGCCTATCCTTTGACAAAACGTGTGCTAAACAAGTGTTGTATCTCCCATTCTGCCTTGGGTTATTCGCATTTCCGGTGGCAGCTTATCATTTCTTCACTATTACAATTAGTTTACCGCTTTTATCTAGATATAGTGTGGTGTGCTTTTTTGAGCGACATGAAACCTGACACTCTAACTGCCGTCCCCCTCTTTCAACGTTGTGCAAGGAATACTGATCAGAGTCTGCTTTATTATTATGCAGTCCTCTTTCCTAGTCTTTTCAAAGTCTCTCTCTTGCTCCGTAAAATCGGTCTGCTTTACCCCTTGTCACAGAGGGTCCGGGATCTGATAAAAAAGCGGCATGACAAGAAATTGCTTAGCTATGGGATAATAAGACAGCACAGGATAAGCTAAGTTAAGCAAATCTTGATGGTTCTGTATTTAAGGCATCAACTGCTACAGACGACGATAGGACTAAGGTAGTAAAACTATCTTAAATCCATCTTGATGCTAAAACTACAAAGCTCTTAAAGAAGAAGTTATATTTTTCACTAGGTAATGAAAGAAATGGTCTTAGCGATATCCTGGTTAAAGATGTCAACATAACAGATAAATATCCAGAAGATACAAGGCGGGAGATCCCACGAATCCTGACACATCAAGAACCGTTAAAATGGAGCAGATTGGCTGGGATTCGGAAAAAATTACAAAGGAATAATCAAATAGTTCTACAGGCGAATAAGGGAGGAGTGACTGTTTTAATGAACAGGAAACATTACACTAAGAAAATGGAAAGTATCCTAGGCGATCGGAACACTTATCAAATACTAAGGAAGGATCCAACCACAAAGATCAACGGGACACTGTAGAATATGCTCAATAAAATGCATATAAATGGGAAAATTGGCATATGAATGATGAAATCATTAATAAAAAATGACGCAAGACCACCGACAGCCTACGGACTACAGAAGATACACAAGAAAGGAAATCCTATAAGAATAATAGTCAACAAAAATCATGGAGTACTGCACAAACTAGTGAAATTCATTTGCTTGAAGCTCAATAAAGTAAGTGACAGACTCTCGAATGACGTTAAGAATTCTTATGAATTTTCTCAAAGGATTCAGAACATTGAGTTAGTGGGGTCGGAACTGTTGGTGAGTTTTGATGTACAATCCATGTACAGAAACATATCAGGTGAGAAGGCGATAAGCGCCTTAATGCAGATATTAGGGCGAGAAGAGAACATCCTGCAGGCCGAACGGATAAGAAAGGAGTCGGTAACACGACTAATCAACCTAGCAGTTATTACAACATATCTCACACTAAACGGCATTATCTATGAGCAAATATTTAGACTACCAATGGGATCACCACTCTCACCTCTTTTGGCAAATGTATACATGGACAAGTTGAAAAGGGGAATCGAGAAGTCACCACTGCAACCAAGAGTGCTTATGCGATACATTGATGACTACTTGCAATTTGGTCACATGGTAAATATAATTTAAGGGAATTCTTCAATTTCATTAACCAACTTGATGAAAGAATTAGTTTAGAATGGAGGTGGAGGAAGATGAACGATTACCCCTTCTAGATGTTGAAGTTATATGATTCAGAGGGACACTCACGAGCAAACTACAAATAAAGAATTCGTATGTTAAAATAATCCTTAATTTCCAGTAGCATCATAACCACGGAATAAAGTTTGAAATAATGAGTAGTTTAATCATCAGAAGCTTACGACTAAGGAGGAGTTGGACAAACTAACACAGATTTGACTAAGTATTGGATACCCCAGAGAATGTATAGAGAAAAACGTAGAGGTTATAAAGAGCCGAATTTAACTTGGTTTTTACAGAAATCAGATCAGGAATGAGCATAACAACCAAAAGTGGATTTGCTTGTCCTCATCAAAACTGAGCAAACAATTGCGACCTTTATTATGAAAATGGAATATCAAGGTGATAACAAAGGAGAAGAAAATGCTTTTCACCAGTCTGCCGACGCAACATGAGAAGACTGACAAACTTGAATGCTCGTGAGTTTATCGCATTAAATGCGGCAACTGTAAGCAGAAGTATATCGGTGAAACAGGAAGAAAAATCGGCCTAGGAATCAAGGAAAATCAAAAACTCTGCAAGAACATGGATACACAAAGATCAGAAATAGCGGAACACATTGCACGTACGAGGCATTGAATGGACTAGAAATCGACCGACAGGTTGGCTGAATATAGCGAAAATACGAGAAAACGCAAGATCCAAGAGGTCATTGATATACTGACTGAGAGAAATCTAATAAACAGGAGGCTTGAAGAAGGCAGGATCAGCGACAATTTCGCATATTGCCTTAACAAACTAGGAGAAGATTAGGCAAAGGAAAATTAGCAAAAAGTAGACGACTGAAACAAGGTAATATTCTTGATTTTAGAAAAAGAGATCGCAAGGGGATGACAAAGGAAGAATCAGAAGCAAAGAGGATACGTCTTCAGTAAGCCTTATCAAAACAATTAGAACCACCACATTTGTGGGTTTGCACACAAGAGGCTAGGACATAAGAAGTGATAGTCATGGCATTATAGATAGAAACAGGAAATACGAGGTGGAGATTAAAGCTATTTAGCTAACAAAAGACGTGCTTGATCTTAAACGCTTCCAATGTTTCTATCCTCTTTCTATCTATAATACCAAGCCCATTACTTCTTATACCCTATGCCGACCCATAAATGTTGTAGTTCAACATTAAACCAAATTAAAAAAGCTGTACCACAACCTTTGTGGGTTGGCACACAAGAGACTAGGGCATGGCAAATCATAGACCTGGTATCAGGGATGGAAACAGGATAGAGACGACGGGGACCGGAGCTAGTTGGCTAAAGGTAGGTCTGTTGTACCAAAGAAGTGATACATTTAGCAAAAAGGTGATCATGACACTGCGAGGCTTGAGTTTCGAATTAGTCACCCAGATGCAGGGAAGGGCAAATAACGCCTCGAGTAGGACAGATGGGGTGGCAGGAGTCGAGTAAAATAGGTAAACAAGGGGTAGAGCAGACGGATTCTATGGAGCAAGAGAGAGACTGAGATAATTCTAGGAAAAAGGACTCCATAATAATAAAGCAGACTGATCCACATTCTCTGCACAAGGATGAAAGGGGGGGAACGACAGTTGGAGTTTGAAGGTTTCATATCGCTCAAAGGAGCAAAACACACTATATCTAAATAAACACGGTAAAAATTGTAATAGTGAAGGCATCATAGGATGCTACAGGAAACACGAATAAGCTAGGGTAAAAGGGGAGATACCACAATTATTTGCACACGTTTAGTCAAAGTATCGGCTTCACGAGTTGTTGTATGGTGCTAATAATGGCGATACTCACTGGCGATGCCGGTAAAATGTTTGGGAATGTACCAAGTACACGGTTCAACTTTGGAAATGATCATGCAGACAATGGACTCCGGACTAGGTGCGTTCCTCTAAGTCT